CGTACGTCAAATCATCTCGCGCACGTCAATCAGGCCAGTTCGCCCGCGCATCGATCAGCACGCCGCCCCCCCCCGCCTCCGCGGATAATTCTGTTAACCAACGCGCGTTCGACGATCTCGGTCTCGCGACGAAGCATGGACAAGTCAACCAAACGAACGAATACGCAACAAGAAAGTCCCGGCTGAAGAAACGAAACCAAAAAAAGGCGAGAACCGTCGGCGAACCGCCGCTAAGGCAGGACGGAATGATCCGACCCCCGCGCCAAGCGCGGGTCGGATGATTCGACCCGCGCTGCCCATGCCCGGCGGGTCGGATTCATTTCCGACCGCGCCAAGCGCGGGCTCGGATTATTCCGACCCGCCACGGCAGTCCCTCTCGCACCGCGCGGCTTCAGCTGCCGATCGCACAACTCTTCACTGCTCCCTTCTGCCGACCCCGCGCGGCACGCTCAGATCCTTTTTTCTTCTATCCTCTATTCGTTCTCTGCCGCGAGCTTCAATCTGTCTACACGTTTGACGTTTTTATTGGTTTTTGCTCAGTCGGTTTATCGGCTTTATGCCTCCAGGGTCTTAACTGACTTAGGCGATCACCCAAACGTGGTTAGGCTGTATTGGACTGAAGATAGAGCCAATCCTTGTTTGCTTATGCCAAGATAGACTGCATTTTTGAGGCTAAATAGAACAAAGGCCTCCATTTTCTGGATCTGAGAATTTTATCAAGGCGCTCGATGACGAGGTGCTGTGGATTGGAGAGTGAACGAGCACGAAACTTTCAGGCAACGGACAGCGAGCGCACGTCCGAGATCCTCCCGTGGATCCCGGCCGAACCCGTTCGGAGCAAGACGAAGTCCGTTCGAAGGTCCATCCGTAGCTCGTCACCGTCATGTTCCTTGAGATTAGGCTTCTGTCTTAATCCCATCGAGACAGCCCTGATATCGTCGTGCTATATTTCGCCCTCTCACTCTCGAGGGCACGCCCGCTGTTTATACTGGCTTATCCTCACTTGTTTCGATCCTCGCGAAATCATCTCACTTTTCCGTCCCAACCCAGACTTCCTATCATGTCCCACCACTCCACCAGTCCTGACTTCATACCATGCCAGCACAAATACCGCGCCTCTCTCGTGTGTCGTCGACAGCTCGGTCTAGCAAGCTCTGCCAAATTTCTCTGCAACCCTGCGATCTGTACTTCTTTTGAGGTCCGGCCGACGGATTAACCCCCCCTGCTTACCACTGGCAAAGAACCCACGACAAAGCAAGAACGATAAAAACGGACTCTTTGCGGTTTATTTTCAAGAAAGTTGTAATAACTTTTTCTTTTGTTATTGATTCATTCTACGTGTCAACGCTTTAAAGTTTAATGAAAATCAATGGACGTAATGTGACTCTTCCGACGCGAAACAATACTGCGACCACAGGTGAGGCCGACAGCTCTCTCTGCGTCAGTGCTGAGTCGTGGGAACGTGTCGCAAACCTCGGGGAATTTTTTTCCCCCGATCCCGGTCGAAACGAGATGGCTTCATCGAACTATATCGGTTCTCGACCTACGTCAGTAAGTACGCGAGGCTAGCTACTCTGTCCTGCGTCCTCCAGATCCGGCTCATCTTCCTCGCAAATCCTCAGGCAAGGCCTACGTCAGGAAGACCCGCGCTGGACTTCACACTGCGCCAGCAAGCGCCAAAGAAGAAGATCTTCCCGCCACCGCGCACCGTGGCTTACACGCCCGTTCCCCGGCCTCCGACGACGCGCTAAAACTACAGACTGAACCCCTTAAAAAGCACAAGGGTCGACTGACTTATGAGATGTGCCACTTCTATCAAGAGAGCACGTCAGAGGCCGTACGTCAACGCCCTCGCACTGCCAATCTGGCCAAAGCCTCCGTTGGAACCAGTTTGATGGAGTCCGCTGAGGTGGCGGATCTGAAAAGTAGAAGGCCCAACACCACACAAAGATACAGCCGTCTCTTTTAAACAGTGAGAACGAATGGGATCGCGTCAAAAGGAACCGATCAACTCTTCAAGCAGCGGGATTCAAACGGCCTGCGCATTGCCTTGACAAGCAAAAATTCCTGTTGCAAAGAGGCCAAGAATGGAGAGAAAGAAGGAGTGCGACATAAACCAACAAGACGCCAGGCAAGTTATGGAGGCCAAAGTCTAAACGGCGGCCCAAAAAATGTCAAGAAACGTCTAGTCACTCCAATCCGACCCGCCCGAGAATCGCCGTCACTCCAATCCGACCGAGCGAAAACGCGGATCACTCCAATCCGACCCGCCGATAATCGGGTCACTTCAATCCGACCGCCGAACACAGGGTCACTTCAATTCTGACCGCCAAACGAAGGTCACTCCATCCGACTCCAACTGCGGGTCGTCCGAAATCGACCTTCCAACTTGGCGCAGTGGTCCAAATCGACCTTCCAACTTGCGGTCAGTTCCAATCACTATCAACTTGCGGCCCTAAGTCTGACTCGCAACAGATTCAAGGCAGAAAGCTGTCCTGCATAAAAACCTTATTTCTTCGATTCCATCTGAGTTCCGCACCTCGGTAGATTTTGACAGGTTGTGGATTTGTCCCATTTCAAGCATGACCATCAAAGATCGCCTTGGCCTTCACCGATGCATCGCGGGCAAAACTCCCGGATCAAAGAGCGCTTAGCCGAGAATGAATCTCGACACATTGTCAGGCTGGAGGTCGTCATCTCTCTC